TGTTTCGTTTGGCCACAGCCTACGACCTAGCCCTCTGCAGCACATTCCTCGCGAAAAGAAAGGCCGAGAAGATAACCTACAGCAGTGGAGGGAGATAAACGAAAATCGACCATGTACTGGTGAGAAGGTCTTCTGTCATGACTGTGAAGGAGATCAAGGTACGTCTTGGGGAGAAGCTAAGCCCTCAGCCTAGACCACTCCTAACATGGCCCCAGACTTCCACAGGAAAACGAAGGTAAGAACTGACCGCAGAATTCGGTGAAGGAAAATGCTCAAAGAGGAAAAGGATAATATCGGTCGAAGATTACTGGAAATACTGGAAGGTGCGCTTCCAGGTCCACACGGGCCGATTTAGCTCCCAAAACCGAAGCAGCAGAGGTCATCCTAATATTCTAGAGATACGTGAGGTGGGTCCAGAGGAGACAAGGGCGGCATAGTTCTGAAACGGAAAAGCCAAGTAGAACAATGAAGCATATAAACGCTGGTCAAAGATTAGGACCTCAGAATACTGTGCCTCACTTTGAGATTTCCGCAACGATGCCGTGCCTGACTGTAATAGCTAATGCTTGCTGCGTGTTTCTACCAGCACAAGCCATTGGAAAGTGATATATCTTCCTTTCCCAGGAAGTGAATTGCATATTTGCCTTTTTCTGTAGTAAAAAAAGCTTGACAGAATCCCATGGTCAACCTCTAGTTAAACATGTTGAGCAAACATGACTCACGGACTGTCTGACTGACTGACGGGGCGACTTGAAACAAAATTAAATATTTTAGGGAACATGGGTTTTGAAAGGGCTTTCTCTTCTTCATATTACTAAATAGTCTAGATCCAGTATCTTGACATCTTGCATCTTGTCCTGGTCGTTTCGAATGGCTCCCACCTTACGCGGCCCCCACTCCTCGAATCGATCTCCATACCAAACTTGATGATGAAGAGTGTAAGCATAATCTAAAGAGAAAAAAGCGCTCTCGTAGATTGGGTTGCGTCAGATAGTCCTCTTCTGATATCCCTTTCACTTTTGCTGCTGTTCTCTCAGGACGTCGCTACGACTCCTTTTTTTGTTGTGGAGGCGCCGTTCAGTGATGAGGAGGGGGCATTTTGTAGTTTCGCTGCCTCACTAATTTCGGTTTACAGTCTCACTCTGGTGAAACCTGTGAACTCGGGTGAAGTTGGAGCAAGGTCGTCAAGCCATCAATTTGAAATCTGTCAGCACGAGAAGAGGCCGTCTAGATAGGTTGACACGTCAATGGGAAAGAGCAAAAGTGCACCTCGTCGCCGAACTGCGTCTGTTGCGCGCTTCTCCTGGTTTCGCCTTTGTGAATCGACGTTGGTGTCCATCTGAACTTCAGGTTCTACAGATCTTGTTTCGATGCGGGTGGTCTGAATTGACGCAGTGCAGTACTGTCCTGGTTCCTGAATGCGTGGAGACTCTTAGAATCTTATTCGTAGAATCTTTTCCTTCTTTCGCAATTTTCTTACGTGGTTTACTTCATTGTTCATTTCGTCAAACTGTTCCAGCTTTCTTAGTTCCTGGTCGACTAGATTTATAGCTTCTTCTACTTTATGTGCATAATCCCAGATCTGCTGTTCCCACTTTTCTCTTCTGCTTGCGGAGAGCTGACCACTCTTGGTAAGAAGTAGAAAAATGGAGTACGTGAGAAGGTATCTTTTTGTAAGACACACGATCTTGTCCACCTTTGTAGTCGCGGATTGCAGAAAGCCGTTTGTGCGACGAGCGAGTTCTTCTCATCGGCGTAAAAGGTGGTAATCGGGTGCTGCATCCACGATTTATCGATGTCTCGTGCCTCCTATCTCTGAGTTTGTATTTCATGGAGTATCTCTTTCATATCCGTTCCAAATTCTCGTCGGACTGCGACTCTTGATGAATACTAGCCAAAAAGCGGAATCTTTCAATAGGAAGCTATATTGGCATTATGAATCGACCTGAAAGGATAAACCTACCTATTTATTGCTCAATAATAGAGAAATAAGTATATACAACTAAGAATATCTTAATTCTACCCTATTACTTACAGAGTTGTTCTTTGCAATGCTTATTGTTGCTTATTATGCCTTTTATGATGATGGTGTCTTCGGAAGCATCTGCATAGAACTCGCACCACTGCGATCACCATTCCTGGTCCGAGGGGACACATCCATAGGGCAACTCGTAAATGGTCAGTACTAAGTAAGTGAATCCAAGGATGGTCAGTAGGCCCAGTCTCGCTTCTAGAAGTGTTTTATACCCCTGAAGAAAAACACCGTAGCTATATGCCACGGAACTGCGGCACTCAATATTCCTGTTCCTGTGAACTACTGCTCTGCGACTTCTTGTCTTGATGGAAGCGTTGAACTTCACAATTCATCGTGGGTCGAACGTGTTTGATACTTTACGACAAGAATCTGAACAGGCTGTGTGAATTTGGGTCCTGGACAAACTGAACCGTATTGTTGATGCACTCCCCGTAGAGTTACAAGGTATGGAGAATCCAGTTTCACCACAGGTCACTTCGGCTTGAACATTATCTCGAGATGATGTGCATTCGATCTCCATCCTGCAGATGACACCATCAACCAGGAGTGGTTGTTCGAATATGTCTTCGAAGCTCATGACGCATTCTGACATGACATCTGTGATGCACGAGCTATAACTGATCCCTCCCCCTCACCGTGGGATGTCAAGGAAGGAAAGGTTGTAGGCAGCTGATTCCTGACGTCATTGAACAACAGCCCGATTGCAATTTGTGCATATGCAGTTCGCCTTCGTTTCTGCAGGTTGACAAACACAATTCGAAAACTGGGCACTGAAGATTTTGAGCGCTAGTTAAGCTCCACTAAGTTAGAGTGCGGGTCTTGCAGTCATTTTCCACATCGCTATGTGCTTTGATCCGTGTTAGACTGAGTGTGAGCCAGAGGAAGCAATGGGAGAGATACTGTGAATAGCGTGATGCTGAACCAATAAATTTCTTGGGTACATTAGGGGTCATTACCGAAGCGGTAATCGGTATCTTGTCCCTCGTTCAATCCACGTAAATGATGAGAACTTTTCGCCGTCAGCTTTGCGCAGAGGCGATAACGTGTCTCTGCCCACCTGTTGAAAGATTTTGTATACGGCGCTATTCAACGGTTCGACGTATATCTGATAAAAAGGGCAACCAGAGTTCAAAGAAAAGCGGTCACATCCGGGTTCCTCGCACGATTCCACCAAGTGGTGTCTCCCGGAAATTTTGTTCCTCCTTCCAGATCTGGAATCAGTCTTAATGCACTAATTGAACTACATTTATCGCCTACGCGACCCCATGTGTGGACAGCGCATACTATCCACGATTCTATAAAATATCACTTAAGAGTATTGGATTTCGGGCTCGCACTGCAGTCTATCCACTGATATAGATTAGTTTAGTAGTGTCCGAAGAAACTACTCACTAGCTGGCGCTAGATTGGAACTAAGTTTATTAGGTTGTCCGGAAAGTCCTCAGCGTTTTGTGCTTACTATTTTTTGTACATTCATTGCTGGTTAAAAACTCCTTCTCCCTTGCGTCTCAGTAGTACATCCTCCCGAAACCGGCCTTGAACTATTGCTTCACCGAGCAAGAAAGTTGGGGCTCTGTCACTAGTTATTGTTTGAGAACCTCACTTCGAGCGAAAAACCTTCGCAGCATATGTAAAAAAGCCACTGCAAAGGTCGGACACGATGTTAAGGTGCGGTAGGACGCGTTACCATGCATGTAATTATAAGTCCATAGCATGTTCTCTGTGCTCCGTCTTGGCAGCCATTGATAGTGGGCTAAAATAGCCTGTTGCGACATACTGAAAAGGTCTTAATCTCACAACGCGTCCTTTAGGAAGAGCGCCTTGGACCGTTTATCAATATGGCAGATTATTGAACTTCTGACACTTCGAGCACTTGCGAATAATTCGCTGGACCTGTGAATGAAGCTAAGGAATCCAAAACTCTTGCTCACGGGGCTGATTGCGCGATTAATCCCTGGATGGCCTCGTTCATAATGTTTTTAAATAATTATCTCTGCTAAAAGAGTATTTTTGCTAGATGAAGAATGGGACATCCTCGAACTCCGTCTGAGCGCGACTCAATCGCCCATAACACCGCGGGATCCCATTTTCATCACGTTGGACATTGAGGTTTTTCAGAGAATTGGCGATAGTCGTGCTGACCTCCACTTTCTGGTGAGCCTTGATTACAGTCATCCTAGCGAACTCATCTCTTGCGGAAAGGAACGAAGAATATGGTCTTGGGGGATGTTCGTTATAGCCGGAAGGATGGCCTCATCCTTGTCTGGCTTCTAATGCGTGAGATTGTTGCCCTCAGGAAGCGCAGTGCTTAAGTCGCAATTCTGTTCGCTTTTAGGAATGTAGGTCCGTGTCGTAGAAGTTCGAGATCGCACCTAGTTTCTGTGCAGGCGGAAGAGAATATCGTCGCTGGCTCGTCCTGGCTAGGTTCGTCGCCTTCAATGTCTTCTTAGAAGTCGAAAATATTTCAGTTCTCGATGCATTCAGTAGATCCGATGTCTTTAGGCGCGTAGGGACCCGTTCACCAACAGTGATCGGTGAGTTCTTTCGCTATCAGCCCTCGAGTCCCACAGTCCGCGGGATTTTCTCCAGACGCGACATATCCGAATCTCGCAATGTACCCTTTTCAATCAAGTAGTGCACTTCGTCGAATTTCCGTCCTGTTGTGGACAAATGGTCTCACTTCACGATGTGGTTTGCTTCTCAGACAACCCAGTGCAATTTCAGAATTGGACTGCAGGTAATCTCCTCTTATCTTCTTCGCTTTCAAAATGCATGACTACAAAGTTAGTCGTACCGCGTGATCGCGTTTAGTTCCAGTTTTGGTATTGTGGTCTTCCGATGGACTGCTTCGATTAGTTCATCAAAAAGCTGGATCTTGCACTCTAGCAAAGATAAATGCAGGCTGTCATTCCGCTTGAACTAGCGTCCGCGAGGGATATGTGTACGACTTCATTCTTCCTGGTTATTAGGAACCCGGGACGGTCTTGCGGAAGCCGTCGATTCGGGTCTTGATCTGAAACCATTCATTAGAAAGTAATCAGAAAAGAAAGAATAGAAAGAGAGAGTATCACTGGCCATAAAGGGCGTCTTGCAGGGAAAGACACCTCCTGTACAGAGCGGACGCGTGGAAAACGATGGCCGACGAGGTCGTTGGTTTTATGTGGGGTGATTACGGGCTTGTTTATTCCTTGTCGTATACATATATCTCGACCATATTTGTCCAGTTGTTCTTGAAAGATATTATGGTATTGATCAAGTAGGTTTTCGTCGTTTTTCAGGGATTTTTACACGTTTTTTAGACATTTATAAGCCAAAACTTTGTTATCCGGTAGTACTAGGTAGTGCTCCTTCAAGGAAGACGAACGTAATATCTATCTTCTCTCCGTTCTACCGTTACGTTGAATGGTTCCAAACCTTCCTGTCGAGTGCATGCTGGGTGCCTGGGCTCTCTGAAATTCTTCGGTTCTGGTGGCGTCCATCGCCCAATACTTCTCCCATTCGTCCCGTTCTTCACGAAATTCGGATTCAAAACCGCTAGCTGAGAAAATTGATTGGACTGTATTCATGGATGGACCGTATTCATTTACCAAGGTCGTGCCAGCGGGCTGTTTCGTCGTCTCCACGTTGTGAAACATAGACCGCCAGTGGTGAATATTGGAGTTCTTTCCCTAGAAGGGGTCCAAGTTTGGTAGGCATGATGATCAGCCTGGCGGTAGTATGATTGATGATAAATCTGTGCGAATAAACGTCTATAAGATGATCCGAGTAATACCGATGGATTGATAATCCTTTTAGCCTTGAGGGTAATTGAAAAGTCCAGGGACCGGACATGCTCACGGTCTTGAACTGATAGCTGAGCGGCAGTAAAGGGTCGCGTCAGGATGTCGTACGTCAGTAACTTAAGCGTATGAGGATTCCATCGTCATCCCACACATCCATACAAACTAGCTTACATAGTCGTTCTTTGACCCCATCTGTACCAAAGCTATCAATCCGACCTTTTTCCTCTCTGCAACTGGTAGGCTAAGTTTCTATGCCAGAGTGCTACAGATGAATGATAATTCTGCCCTGGTATCGATCAGCACATCCATTTCTGGAATTTTCTTTGATGAGGGTCCCGGTGGGATAGGCATGATCGACTTGATTGTTGGGCATGAAGGACTGGTTGTGCCGTACTAGCCGGTTCCGGCGTCTTTCCGACGTAACTACGTTCGAGCGGATTTTGGGTGTTGGTCCCTTCGTTTCTTGAGGGAGTGTCTGCTGTGAGACTTTTCGCTTCGCTGTGATCGGGTTTTATTGGGACTGGATCCGCTGTTTCGTGGTGGTGGCCCTGACTTACACGTGGTCGTGAAGCAGTAAGAGGTGCGATGCGCTCCATTGCATCTGAAGTAGAGACGTCCTCATTCGCTAGTCTTATGCGGGGAGGAGGCGCATATTAGACACAATTGATGCTTCTCTGATACTGGGATCCATCTTGAGGGGCTGTATACTTTGTACAGTCACGTGGGGAAGGGGTTACTGCTGCGTGGGGGAGGGGTTTCTTATCATTGATCTGGAGAGTCAGCTCATCGGTGGTGAGAACCTCTTCGATGATCCTGAAAAGGTGCTGCATAGTAAACGCAGCCTCCGTGCCATCTACCTGCCTTTTCAGAAGGATTTGCCGCTTTGAGTCCAGAAACTGAGTGAGAGCTTTCTTAATAATTCGGGAAACTTCCTCTCCTATCTCTTGTAGCTGCACCATAATAGTTCGAAGGTTTTCTACAAGAGCACGCTGATCTTTTACCGGTGGTGTGCGCGAAGCACAGGAGTTTGGTCTATTCATTAACTGTTGACTAGTGCTTCTCTATCATCATACTTGTGGAGAAGGAAGCTGACCGAAGAGAAATTATCTGCCGTTACCTTGAACTCCAATGACGGATTCCCTGGCTTCACCCTTGAGCGAATTAAGCAAGTAGTTGAACTTGACCATTTCAAGAAGTGATTAGTCGTGGACATTCGCCTGAAGTATCCCCTAGAAGTTGTCCCACTCCCACATGTTCCCTGTGACCTCGGTAGGGTAACTGGTGGAAGCTCGATAGCCTTTGGCTACGCTTGGCTCATCTGTACAGGGTGAGATACTGGCGCACTTGGGATGGTAGAGACCCGTAATTAGAGGTTAAAGTCCTAAGCTTCGCTTGCAGTAGCAGGGCATAGTTAAACGCTGCAAACAAAAAGGCTCCCATCTGATTGATACACACCTCAAAGTCATCAGTCCCTTTACCTTTGTAAAGATCCCCGTCATCGGTTGCAGTGGCGAACTTAAACAAGACTTTCTCAAGCTTGTTTGACATAATCTCAATGGCAGCGATCGCCCTTGCGAAGGGTAGACCCTATCCAGGTAAACTTCTCGTAGAACTCGTTCTTTTGAAACCTCGTAAAGTTTTTCCCGTTTGAGACCTGCTACAGTGTGGTCTAACTTATTACCGTGAAAGTCAATAGGCGCTTGTATGTAGCTATCTGAGAAGCGATGGAAAACGATGGAGGTTGCTGGACGAAGAAACTGTGTCTTCTCGAACCCTCAAAATAGTCGCACCTAGAGTCTTGATAGTCTTGATGCTACTTCAGGAACTTGAGAAAATTTTATTTACATCTTGAACTAAACCGAACTGCAGAGAACTGTAGAGTCGAACCAACCTCTCTTGTCCTCTTTAGGCTGATGCACCAGCTTGCCTAGAATACTTGCCTTTGATAGAACCGCCTTGATAGAACTGTTCTTGCTCGCCCCACAGTGACCGGTGCAGTCACTGGCCACGCTTGTGAATGTTGATAACTTAAAGACGCATGGTACGCTCAAACACAGTGAGGGTGTATGAGACTATCAGCCCCCCAGCTGTCGATGTGTCGTGGTCCCCCCGCCCACAACTGCACGGAGTCAGAGTACGGGGCCGAGGTAATTCCTTGCTACATCGCCCATTTCGCAAACTCACGTTTATGCTAACACCGTCCGCGCGGCGCGTGTCGCGTGCAGCTCTCTTTTCTTTTTGCTAAATCCTGTAATTGCGCTTTGCAATACAAGTAAAACGCAATTCCTTTATGCGGATAACATTTTAGGTGCTGCAAAATAAGGAAACGCAAACTAACTAAAATCGCGTGTGCATTTCCGCGATCCGGCTCGAATCCGAAGCCATAAAAATACTTCAAACTAACGAGTGGGACGCTCAGGCTGTGTTTATTTTCATGTTTCGTGGAAATGCACGGCCTCTGAGGAATGTTGCAGGAACAGTACAGTTGCTCTTGAGTTCTAGCCCTCGTCATCATCTTCGGTTCTTGTTTTGCAGCACCTAAAATGTTATCCGCATAAAGAAATTGCGTTGTACTTGTATTCCAAATCGCAATTACAGGACTTGGCAAAAAACCAAGAGAACTGCACGCGACCGCGCCGCGCGGACGGTGTCAGTAAGAACGTGAGGGCGGTGTAGCAAGGAATTACGACTCCCCCACGGCCCCGTACTCCGACCCCGTACACTTTTGGGCGGGGGACCACGACACATCGACAGCTGGGGGCTGATAGTCTCATGCACTCTCAATGTGTTTGAGCGTACCATATGTCTTTGAGCTGAAATTGTTATTACGACTGACAAAGTGGTCGTAAGATCTTGAAATCTTGTCCGTGTCGAGTGCTCACCAGCATCTTGGTTGTGGATCTTGTCTGAACGTCCCGAATGGCTCCCACCGTACGCACCCCCACTCCTTGAATCGATCTCCTTTTATAGCCAATTTGATGCTTAAGAGTGTAAGCCTAATTTAGAGAGAAATATTGTTCTGAAGTTGTGCAATTGCTCACTGATCCGCCGAAAGATGGAGAGAGGCTGGAAAGTTGAGCGGCGGATGACTAATCGCTACAGTGACTGTACATAAGAGAAAGATGAGCCTCTGGCCGTATATGTTGCGTTTAGCGACACTCCCGACGCGGCTTTTGTTTCTACTGTTTCTTGGCTTGCTCTAGCTTCACTTCTTGGATGGCCTCTCATTTTTCCTTTCGAACTGGAATCCTGCGCAATGCTTTGTGGTGTCCGTCGTCCTTAGGGATCAATAACCGTAGAACTGTGCCTCTTGCAACGTTGCCAGCTTTCCTTCTTCTCGTCTTTACATCTGGAGTACGAATCACAAAAGCCTGAACAGTGCATCTCCTGTCTGATGATTGATATTGTTTGATGATTGATATAATGGTACCTGTCATCAAACAAGCTCCGAACACGAGTCGGAATATCGGACTCCTCTACATTCGCAGAAAGCGCACGCTATGCGGGGGTTGGCAACTCTAGATGACTTTTCGAATCGTTTTGGAAGCAAACGTAAGCCTTCTTCAAGCTCTCTAAGATCTGTCTGCCCGTTCTCCAATCTGTCTGCCCGTTCTTCGATGGGCCTTGGGTAGTTCGACTTTTCGTGCCTTTATTCCTTGTTGTCCCAGCCTCTGGTGTGTCCTCCTCGTCCTCCCGTTGAGCGCTCTCGTATATGAGTTGCACCAGATAGTCCAATAGTCCAATAGTCGTCCAATATCACTTTCACCTTTGCTGCTGCTCCCTCAGAACGTCACTATGACTCCTTTTTTGTTGTGGAGGCACCGTTCGGCGACGGGGACGGGGCATTTTGTACTTTCGTTGCTTCACTAGTATGGTTTACAGTCTCTGGTGAAACTTGTGAACTCTTGCGAAGGTGGAGCAAAAAGCCTCTCAGCATCAGAGGAGCTGTCTAGATAGGTTGACACGTCGATGGGAAAGAGAAAAAGTGCACCCTCGCCGAACTGCGTCTGTTGCGCGCTTCTCCTGGTTTCGTCTTTTGTGAATCGACGTCGGTGTCCATCTAAACTTGAGGCTCTACAGATCTTATTTCCATGAGGGTGGTCTGAATTGACGCAGTGCAGTACTGTCCTGGTTCCCGACTGCGTAAAGACTGCATGGCTCCTTCACGGGCTCAAAGACACATGGTACGCTCAAACACATTGAGGGTGTATGAGACTATCAGCCCCCCAGCTGTCGATGTGTCGTGGTCCCCCCTCCCAAAACTGCACGGGGTCAGAGTACGGGACCGTGGGAAAGTCGTAATTACTTGCTACGCCGCCCGTTTTTGCAAACTCACGTTTTTACTAACACAGTTCGTTCGGCGCGGTCGCGTGCATCTCTCTTGGCTTTTTGCCAAGTCCTGTAATTGCGCTTTGGAATACAAGTACAACGCAATTTCTTTATGCGGATAACAATTTAGGCTCTGCAAAATAAGAACTGAAGATGATGACGAGGGCTAGAACTCAAGAGCAAGTGTGCTGCTCCTGCAACAGCCCTCGCAGGCCGCGCATTCCCACAGAACATGACAATAAAAACGGCCCAACCGTGCCACTCTTTAGTTTGAAGTATTTCTGTAGCATTAGAGCCGGATTCGAGCCTGATCGCGGAAATGCACACGCTATTTCAATTTATTCCGTTTCCTTAGTTTTTTTCTATTTTGTTTTATTTACATCTACATTCGTTGTTATTCATTTCTAGCCTTTGTTACCTTCATCACCTTCTATTCGGACATTAAAGCATGAGCAATACCTCAAATGTTAGGAAATTGCGTTTTGCTTATATTGTCATGTTGTCTGTTTTTATTGTCTGTTCTGAGGGATATTGCAGAAGCAGCGCAGTTGCTCTTGAGTTCTAGACCTTGTCATCATCTTCGGTTCTTATTTTGCAGCAACTAAAATGCTATCCGCATAAAGAAAATGCATTGTACTTGTATTCGAAAGCGCAATTACAGGACTTGGCAAAAAGCTAAGAGAGCTGCACGCGACCGCGCCGCGCGGATGGTGTTAGCATAAACGTGAGGGCGGTGTAGCAAGAAATTACGACTTTCCCCGGCCGCGTACTCTGACCTCGTGCAGTTTTGGGCGGGGGGGGGGGACCACGACACATTGACAGCTGGGGGGCTGATAGTCTCATACACCCTCAATGTGTTTGAGCGTACCATGTGTCTTTAAAGACAGCTTCCGCGATAAAAGTCTCATGGATAGCTGCTTTCCAATTATGAAACAGCAGCTGATAAGTAATCTCCCAAGGAAGAAAACAGGCAAGGGGCGTTCTCCAAAGCAACATAAACAAAATCGCTCCTTCACAGTTACACCTCTCTGCGGTCTCCGTGCAGCCCCTAACTCACAAGTCTCTCTATCACATCTCGCAGTGGTTGATATCATTCAGTGCAAAAGAAAGAATACAAAAAGAAAACAACCAAACCGCAGAAGAAAAACTCTGGGAAGGAAAAAGGAATTTTATCAACACGGTGTCTGAATTTGTGATTACGGTAGCTGCACCTTTGTGCGTCGTCGGGTTTCTGGCATCAACGAAATTCATCACTCGTGTTTTTACGCGTTTCACCTCGCGAAATGGGTTGAATTGAATGTATATACCTCCAATGAGTAAACTGTAATGGAGGAGAGCAGATTTATCCAGGGGCATTAGCAATGCCCGCCGCCCCAACTAAGAACAAGTGAGTGGCCTGCGTCGAAGGACATCTAGCAAGTAATGGCGGTCCGACTGAGGAGGAGTTAGAACTAGCACTTTGAGCGGCTATAGCAGCCTCCACGCTCACAGCAGAGTCGCGAAAGGTGAACAGTCTTCTAGCTTGGAGGCTAGACTACTTGCACAGAAAGGCGACCACGAGCCACTTTGATCGCAGGGGCTGTCTTTAAGTTGCAGTCTTTTCCTTCTTTTGCGACTATCTTACGTGGTTTACTTCATTACCCATTTCGTCGAGTTGTTCCAGCTTTCTTAGTTCCTGGTCGACTAAATTTATGGCTTCTTCTACTTTATGTGCATAATCCCAGATCTGCTGTTCCCACTTTTCTCTTCTGCTTGCGGAGAGCTGACCGCTCTTGGTATGAAATAGAAGAACGGAGTCCGTGAGAAGGTATCTTTGTGTAAGACACGATCTTGTCCACCTTTGTAGTCGCAGATTGCAGAAAATGATTTGTGCGACGAGCGTGATATCGGCGTAAAAGGTATTAATCAGGTGCTGCACCCACAATTTATCGATATCTCGTGCCGCTCTGAGTTTGTCATCCATGGTTTTTTTGTCACGTTCATATCCGTTCCAAATTCTTGTCGGACTGCGACTCTTGAGGGATACTGGCCAAAAAGCGGAATCAATCAATAGGAAGCTATATTTCGGCATTATGAATCGACCTCAAAGGATAAACCTACTTATTTATTGCTCAATAATAGAGAAATAAGTTACAACTAAGAATATCTTTATTCTACTCTATTATTTACAGAGTTGTTCTTTGCGATGCTTAGTTGCTTATTATGCCTTTTATGATGATGGTGTCTTCGGAAGCATCTGCATAGAGCTCGCACCACTGCGATCACCATTCCTCGTCGGACAAGACACATTTATAGGGCAACGCGTTCGTAAGTGGTCAGTACTAAGTAAGTGAACCCAAGGATGGTCAGTAGGCCACGTATCGCTTCTAGAAGCGTTTCATACCACTGAAAAAAAAACACCGTAGCTATGTAGTTAAAATTCGGCCTATGGAGGTGCGGCATTCAATATTCCTGTTCCTGTGAGCCACTGCTCTGCGATTTCTTGTCTTGATGGAAACGGTGAACTTCAGAATCCCCCGTAGCTCGAACGTATTTGATACTTTACTGCAAGAAAGTGAACAGACTGTGTGAATTTGGGCCCTAGAAAAACCGAACCGTATTGTTGACGCACTTCCTGTAGAGTTCATATCAGTAGAGTTCACGAAGCCAAGATAAAAGATACGGATACGAGAACCAGGGCGGAAGATACCCAAGATGTTCCTCGATAAGCAAGAGCAGGGTCTGTCCATCACCTTCATGTAAACCAAAATGTGAAGCCATCTCCAGTTGCAGCCGGACTGGAGAACACCTTTGCAATTCACGTCACCTCCAAACAGCTGCGGAACTTCTTGTAAGGAATACACATGGACAGCTACTTGGAAACCAGCACTCTTGATGCGCAATACCTCCAACATCGAACAGCTCCGACAACGTCGCTACGGTCCAGGATATTTTCTTCACCGCAGTCGCTAAGGCATGGGCTGATGGTATGGACGTTTCTGGAGAGGGAACAGAAATATTATTTTCATGGACCGCGGTCTGAAAGTGTTCGCTGACTTCTACATCGACCAACTCGTGAAGAATATCCTGCCTTCATGTTATCGCCTGTACCGTCTTGGAGACTTGTACTGCTACAGGACTGGGTGCCTCCACACCGAATTGAAGGGCGTCTCAACACTCGATGGGCTTTTCAACACACACAAACACTCGCCTACTTGGAATGGAAGGGCGTTGATACGACGGAATATCCAAGTGTGCTATCTGCCGTAAAACCCCTCGATTACGGGGTTTGGGAGGAGCTCAACCGGGTGGTATACCGTGGCGAAATCAACGACCTCGCTGAACTCAGACATCCATTCACGGTCGCGCGGCAGAATCTCCCGATGGCCTTCGTTCAGAAGGCTTGGCGGTTCGTGATAGTGTACAATGTGTTTTTGAAAATGCTGGCGAAAATGTGTAATCAGAATTTAGTTATATCGATGGTTCAGCTGACACCTCAAACTTGGGTAATTAAACGTTTATCTGGAAGCACCGCAATAAGAAAGAATTAAACTGTAAAGCTCGGCTCACCAGGGCTCCTTTTATGCGTGGTCAAGTGGCGGCAGCTCGCTGGTATTGGAGGAGATATAAACATGATTAAGGAAATGTTGTGAGAGAAGCCTATACAATCGTTCAGATGCAGCCCTACTGGTAACGATATTGGAGCTTACAAGGCTATTCGTACAACAAATAAAAAGTAAAAGATAGTGTCATAATGGTTACAATAAATGATACAATAATGATAATGTTACAATCCTAAATAGAGCGAGAGTTCTCTATATCTCCCGGGGACACCGATAACTGCCAGCTTCTGGATCCACTGCTCAGCCCTATCTCTTGCCTCCTTCTCAGGTACGATTCGACGACGATGATGAGGAGCTGCGACGGCCATCACGAGTATCGTCTGGTCGTGTGCCTTCTCTCGCCCTCTCGCGTCCTTTGTCATGCTCCGCTGTCGCGCTTCCTCCGCGTCTCCTTCCTGTGTTCATCGTCTCGAGGTGTGGCTTCCGGTCCGACGGCGACGATCTCTGCGACCGCGATTGACTCCTGCCATTTCGCGGTCTAGTCTCAGCTGCAAGTCTCGCATTTCCCTTTCCAGCCTTGATTCCCTTGAATGATATCTTTTCCTTCTCTCCTTCAATTCATCCATCTCTTTAGTGGAGCTGACTCTGCCCCCCTCTTTCCGCACTCCTCGATGTCTCTGTTGACCTCAAGCATGGAATCACACGACTTCCTTCAGTTCTTCTCCGCCTCGCTCATCTGACGTCTGATGCGTTCCACCTCTGGGGGTGGCTCCGCGGGCACTTGTCGTTACTGTGTTGCCCTCTGAGAGGCGAGAGCCAAACTTCGACGCGTTCCCTGAAGAGTACGAGTCGAGGGAGAGCTGTGAGCTATTGATATTGTCCACTGCGCCTCGTAGTTCCTTGAGATTATCACGAAGATGATTTTCACTTGTCGCGTGCTCTTTTTCAAGGCTGGCTGTGTTCATCCTCTCTTTGATCTCTTTCTCCATTTTTTCGAAACGATCCGTGAGTATGTTTAGTTTCAGACTCAGCGTGTCCAGCTTTCCTTCGGTTGTCTTGTGCCTCTTCATGTTCTCCAAATGATAGGCTCTGACCAGATCTTCGTTACGCTGGAGACGCTCAGTTGTCTGCGGACAGGGAGCTGTCGTTACCGCAGGGGCGAGCTGGTCTACTTTGCTCGCGGCAAGGTGCAGAGTTCGGGATCCTTGCAATAAGAGTTCCTTCAGAATGGTCCCAGAAGCTCGTCCTTTCTTAGGTGGAATATCGCCGGCTTCTTCTGTCGACGAAGATGACGATGACGAAGACGAAGACGAATTTCGTTGACGTTTCGGGGCGGAGGTCGTCGAGGTTGTGTCATTAGTCGCTGGCCTCTTTCTGGCGATCTTTGCAGGCTTCGAACCTACTGTCTGCTCGGCACTTGGCTTGATGGGCTTAGCAGTAGACGCAGATGTCTTGGCGGCTTGTCTGGTTCGTTGAGTACTCTTGTCAGTAGGAGTAGTGGGCTTCGTGGCATCCTTGTCCATGGGAGTAGTAGACTTCGTGGCTGACGTAGTAGATGCCGTGTCCATGGCTAAAGAGAGATCATAAGGAATCGTAGAATTTTGTCTCATAAGCTGGTGCATGCGACAGAGTAAAGCTCTCATAGGAGTTTCTCCAATCCCTTCGTACGATTTTGGAGGGTGCAAGAAGCCATTCTCCATGCAGCCTTCAATATACAAAGAGGAATCCTTCCTATCTTTCGTGTGATTATCCACTGCTGTCAGTATTACGCGTCCTTTGTCCAGTGTGGCGGCAGCCCTTTCAGTGTTGGAGCAGACTTTCTCGAGAATTTCATCCAGCGACGGGGTGCTGGCATCAAGGCTATCAGCAGCGCTGCTGTAGCGCTCGAGAGCCGTGTCCACGTTGCTTGTTTCTGATTCGAGAATTGCTTTGATTTTCCAAATCCTCATCCTCTCTGTCCTTAGATAAGTCCTACGTTCGTGGTCCTCAGAGGGAGGTTCCAGTTCCCATGCCTCTAAGTCCTTGTACTCGTCCACTACAGCGGCGAGCCTATTCACCGATTTGGTTAAAAGTCCTTGCCTACTTGAAAGCAATGTGGCCATGTTAGTGCGACTATTCAGTCCGATCGTTAATGATGCAGTGGTGCAATCGCTCGGTGGTGCAGACAAAGGACGTTGTGCATGCGCAGACAGGACCTTATGCGAAGCAGGAATGTACACTCACTCCTTCGCTTGAAATCCTGGCGTCCTATCCTTCGATCGGTACGCTGGCAGCTTACTCCTTGTCCGATCCTTTGGTGGTTCGTTCCTCGATCGATCCTTGGACTTCTGCTCCTTGATCGATCCTTGACTTGTCCTGGGTCGCTCAGTCCGATGCCACCATATATCGATGGTTCAGCTGACACCTCAAACTTGGGTAATTAAACGTTTATCTGGAAGCACCGCAATAAGAAAGAATTAAACTGTGAAGCTCGGCTCACCAGGGCTCCTTTTATGCTGGTCATGTGGGCGGAGCTCGCTGGTATTGGCAGGAGATATAAACATGATAAGGAATTTTGTTGAGAGAAGCCTATACAATCGTTCAGCATTAGCCTACTGATAACGATATTGGAGCTTACAAGGCTATTCGTACAACAGAATAAGTAAAAGATAGTGTCATAATGGTTACCAATAATGATAATGTTACAATCGCTAAATAGAGCGAGAGTCTCTATATCAGTAAAGTGTAGTTTCTATCGCCTTGAATCGAGGGAGAAGTGTCTTTTTTTTTGCTCCCCACGCTGTAGTGTGGCTTGTTCACTCGGCTCTTTAATTCGATTTGAAAAGTTTAAAAGTCGTGATTTCGGTCTGAAAAGTTGTAAGAAATGAATGTAAAAAAGAATGTAAAAACAAACACTTCCCTAGTTGATTTTGATCTGTAGACATCGTGTTGGTTCACCAGTCATCAATGCCCACATTACTAAACCAACGACTCGCCGGCTGACGTCGGCGTGCCTCCTTCTGTGATACGGGACGGCTCCGCCGGGTTTCGCCGCGCGTACCTCATGTTTGGATGCTTAACAATTATCCAGCTTTTCCTTCACCTGTACACATTGTCAACACTCCTTGACCAATAACTTCACACCTGCTAATTTCAACACTATTACCGTCTATGAAATGGTGGTAAGCAGTGTTGATCAAGTGCGTAGGTGAGAGAATATCCGGGTATCAGTTGAGCATTCAAACATACGCAAGCAGGTGGGCGCGACGAAGTAAGCAAAACCGGCAAAACCTGGCCCTATTAGAAAGGAGTCGCGCCGGCGTCATCCAGCGAACCAACTGGAATCAAATGTACCCGCGGTGTGTTCTAGAGTATGACGTCCTATGCGCTTAAACGCAGTGAAAGTAGGTACTTCGGGACTGAGAACGCGCTTCACCCACTGTGAGCTCAACACACCACAGACATACTCAACTCTCGCAATGTAGTTCTCTTCTCCAACAGTATTTCCTGATCTCCAAGCTCACTGAGATCCGAATCACAAAATTCAGCAGCAAGCTCCGCCCACCTCGAAAGCCTGTCCATTCCTGGGATGTCTCCCCCACCCCTTGCGGATCTCAACCCATTTGTCCCCGGTGCCTATGCTGCTCTCAACTAATTCGTGAATTTTCGACCTTCGCCCGCCCTTATCGACCAAGCTCCGCACACAATGGGCGCGTAAATCTCGCTTCTATAGTCGAGCTCCTGCACATCATTGCTCGCCTTTTGCCGCTGTCCGGAGTCTGTTCTGGAAACATTCTACAGATTTCTGCGTTACGCTCCAGCCACCTCGCCGCACGCTCCACCTACAACGGCTGTGTGCCGCACCAAACACTGATCCATCCTCACCATCCACTTCCGTGTTTTAAAAACTTTTGTCTGTCTCCGCCCACCTCGTACTGGCACAACATCTGTGCCTCACATTTCTTACCGGCGACCCTTTGCTGACCTTGACCTACCTTTTTCCCGTCTCTCTCTGGAACTGTTTTACAGACCCATTTGTCTGTCTTTGCCCACCACGGGGCAGGCTCCACCCACAACACGTGTGCCCTACAGTCCTCATTGGCGACCTTTTGCTGACCTTAATCCACTTTTTCCGGTTTCTGGAGTGCCCTGGAACCTAGCCACAAGTTTCTGAAATGAGCATCCTATGACTGAGAGCAAGTCCCGCTCCCTGTGGGCGGGTCTCAACACACCTCAGGCATGCAAAACTCTACCCTGGTGTTGCCCTCCTATATGGACCTTTTTGCGATTTCAAACTTTTTAAGGAACCGACTCAATGAATTTTGTGAAAATCACCGCCTATCTCAAGTACGCTCCGCCCATATCAATTATATCTCCGCTAATTACTCTGACGACCCCTTGCTAACCTTATTCCTCTTATTCCCCATCTATGGGCTGCTCTGGGACCGAGCCATGAGTATTTTTCTGCGGCACCGCCAAATTTCGGCGCATGCTCCGCCCACTGTGTGCGGGGATTTGCATAGGTCATATGTGCTTTTTACATGTTGCCCCATACCCTACCCATTCCCACCTTGACCCGACCTCTGCAAGTTGTTCTTAGGTCGAATTTCCGGACCGACAGACAAACAAACAAGCAGACGAAGCAAATCGTATATAGTAGGTGATAGTGGGTGATCTTTGTGATTCCGTAGTGTTAATCCCTTATCAACCCGTATTAGTTTTTCACTTTCTTTCTCACCATCGATGTCTCCATCTCACACTCTATCATTTTGTGTAACCGACGCCTCGCTGATGGTGCGATCCGCGCTGTGAATACGGTGACATTGCATTCCAAAGGCCCCCTTATAGAATCTAATCAGCTGATAACAGTTTTTGTCACACATCAATAATCTTGTTCTATTTTTTTTGTCCTATATCCTTCAACACATCTTGGAAGCAACGCCTGGCTAACACTGTGACCTCATTATGAATATGGTGAACTTTCCATTCTTACATCACTTGTCGAGTTTCTTCTGCTGCTAACAAATCATGTCACCCACCAATAAAGTTGACGCACACCTATATTACTTCTTGAAACCAATGCTGCACTGTTGTTGGGAGACGCGCTATGGACTCCGTGATAGATAGACAGACAATCACTTAGACGCACCTGATAAATGCACACTTTCGTTATAGGTCGAATATAGCGGAAATTTGCAGAAAAATGGGAAAAATAAGGCAGGAATTTTTAGAGAACGCGATTTTTCAGCTGGGAATACTAGAACATTTATTATCCCCTATATGTACAAATTCTGTTATGGGTGTAACATAGTGCATATTCACCGGAGGATGGAAAAAGTTTTTTCTTACCTTTCAATGGACGCAACTTTGTTCAGACATAATCTAGAGCAGAAACCCACTGGCTACTCCCAACAATTTTATTATAGGTCTTCTATAGCAAAAATTTGCTTGTAGCGGATTTACTTCAGCTCAATAGAGGGCTTCATCCACTATACAGCTTACACTCCCTTCTAGAAACCTCAGAAGAATTTCAATGTCCATCTTTTCACTTGTGATGAATATGAGTTGAAGCTCACAAGGGGGGTAGTTTAGGGCGTGTAGCGCTTTTTGAAAACGGTTCTTTGCATATCATTGAGGCCCATGCAAGAACCTGAAAGGTGAGCTTCATTTTCTGTATGCGCTACGGTAAGGCAAAAAGGTGTGAAAAATCTATGGAAACTCTTCGTTCTGGGCCTCTATGCGCTGTGGATCGCTTGCAACTCTGATCACTTACTGAGTGGGGGCTCCGCTTGGGTCACGTGCTCAGGAGTGAACGGCTCCTTGGAATGGTTTCTTCAACGATCCGAGCAGCACGCAGCAGCAACGATCGGATGGCCTCGTGGATGGCGTGGAGGATTCGCAATCTGACAGTGAGGGTGGGGTTGATGGTTCGACCTCCTCCGGGCTGGGTGTCTTTGCATTTTTCTGTTTAGTGTTCACGCTTCCATATATATCTGTGCGTGAGTATAACATGGATACTTGCCATTTATACTGAGCATACTCTGAATACAATACGCCTTGAGTTGGTGCTATTCAACTATTTTGATTTTCACATACCATTGAACAAGATTGTTGCTCAGCGTTGAACTTTATAGATTGTTCAGGGATCTGATCACGAATATGCCACTTACTTCTGACTCTGGTACCATTTATCGTCAATTGGGAGCCACATTTTCCTTCACTGAATTCTTTATATATTACACTCATATAGGGTACGTTCAGCGCTGGCGCCACATTGCGTGGACGCCAAGCGTCATAGTCGTGATGAAGACCACTGCTTACCTCTAGACGAATTTTCGGTCAAAAAATTATTTTGTGTACTGGTTGTGCTCACGAGTCTCACTATCGAGGTGGTACTTCGCCTCGCTATCGAAAGTTTCCCATCTATCAATATATATAAATGACCACCATCAATGATGAAGCTCATCGACAGACGAAGGAAGGTCTCCGGAACGTACTCAAGAAAATTCGGAGAAGCCGGAAGACTGCATTTGCTCCTTTGTCGGTGGGAGAGGAGACAGCTTCGTTGAACGACTAGTCGGTGGGAATCGGGACGGTTCAGAATACTTGATCACGTATCCAGCGGTTACCCACACGCATTCCATGCTTAAAGGGCTTGTCTGCATGAAACTGGGTAGAGTTGTCCAGGTAGGACACGCCATCGCGTTGTGATCATTTTCTGCCAGATACGACCCCCCCCCCCCAGATAAGGGTCCTGATAAACCCCCCCCCCCTGTGCATTGCTAACTATTCTGTCAATCAATGGTTTTCACCAGGGTCAAGAAACCGCTTATTTGGCAGAAGATAAACGATATTTTGCTAGCCGAAATCGTTTATCTTCTACCAGCTAAACAATTAAGTGCTGGCAAATTCATGTCACTTGATGGTGCCAGCACTTAACTGCTTATCTGCTATCAGGTAAACAATTCAGTGCTGGCACCCTCACGTGACATGAATTTGCCAGCTACGGGGAAAACCGGAAAAACAAAAACACCGAAAAAAGAGAAGGAGGATCTGCGAAAGATCGGAAATAACTTACGACGGTACAAAAGAAAAGAAGCGCAGAAGGGACGAAGTGAATGAC